AAGACAATTATTAAAAAAAAAAAATGATGATTAYAGAGTTATAATTTATAAYTGTAAATAGTAATTTAATCTGCATTATATTYGAGTTCAAATAAAATAAATTACAGTAATAACAATATGGTAAGTATTGTATATCATTTTAATATTAATAAATAGTTAAATACCTATTCTCAATTATTTKACATTATTAAKAACTTTATTAAAAAAGCCATACGTAGCCATTAAATATCATACGTCAACGTAAGTCTGGSCCAATGTACCAATCGAAATGTATTTCCCAATCTCACCAGTAGTGATCWTTTTCCAATCATGATTTAAGTTATTCCTCACCAAAATTACACTACTAATGCGAAAAGTGGAACCTAAAAACCCCGACTGCGTTAATAAGAACCTAAATGATCAAATTTTAATATTTTATTGAATCATCCAATAACTGCACAAGAAATATTGTACTTCAAAAATAAATGTAAAAGCAACAGTCCTGGTGCTTATCAAATACCCTATGCTTTTATACACAATTTTGGTACCAAAGCATTCAACATACTRGCAATCCTTTACAACAAAATTCTATTCGAATGTATCTGGYCATCAACGTTGAAGAACGGAATAGTAATTCCTTTACTTAAACCCGGTAAAGACAAAYATCACCTAGAAGGCTACAGGTCTATTACCTTAATCAATACAATGTGTAAACTTCTTGAAAAAATTATAAACCCCARACTTAGCTGGCTATTAGATAAAAACGTCTTTATTTCACCACACCAAAACGGATTTAGAAAAWWCCGACGCACAATTGACAATTCAATCCAAATTAAAGAAGAGATCACTCAAATATTTAAAAACAATCAAATGTTGGGCATAATAAATCTTGATATCATCAAACTWTATGACTCAACCTGGAGACATAACATTCTAGAAAACTTAATAAAATTGTAGGAAAAGGAAATTTTCTGAACACAATTACAAATTTTGTGGTAAACCAGACATTCCGTGTAAGAGCAAATAATTTCCTTTCGGAAGAGTTCATTCAWGAAAAYGGAGTTCCGCAAGGTTCGTCTCTTTCAGTAWATCCTCTTGAAAATCAAGATTATAATACATGAAGCTCATACTAAGTTCATAATCCTCAATGATTCAYTAAGTACGGGGAAAAGTATATTAAACCATTTCAACCCTGGAGACATTGCTTCTAAAATTCAGAATGAGCTCAATAAAGCTTCCCTTTTSAGTAKTCGTATCATCATCATGTGGATTTTTGGAAATTCGGATATACTAGGAAACGAAACTGCTGACGAACAAGCCTCATTAGCCGCTAACGATGACGAAACCATTTTAATAAACCAAATGTCTTACGATAACACGAAAAATCTCATAAACGCATATACAAAAAATAAATGGTTAAGTATCTGGAATACGCAAAATACCAAACTAAATGAAATCAAAAAAGATATTTATCGTGGGTAAATACAAAGCTTAACCGAAAAGAAGATACAGTACTCGAAAGTCTTCGSATTGGRCACACCAAAATCACGCACGGATTCCTGATGGCAAGAGAGAAGCCTCCATTTGTCAAACCTGTGGAACTATGTTAGCAGTCAAACACATAATTTCCGGCTGTTTATTGTACAACCAAGAAAGAGATGAGCACAGGATATCATACAATCTGGACTCCGCACTCGGTCCCAATCCTAAAAATAACTCAGATTTATTGAATTTTTGAAAACACTCTAAATTGAACAATCATATATATATATAAAAAAATGTACATCACATTTTATTTATAACTTATCTTTGTAAATATCATTGTAAACACTTATTCATGAATATCTTTTAACTTTCTTTAACTAACTGCCTTTGCTATTGATGTTTTTTTGTGATCAATAATAAATAAAAAAAAAATAGTTAATATTATTAACATTTTGTTATTTGCTAATTTCCATTGCTTTGATAATATCATATTTTGAAATTGGATAGTAATAAATAAGTATGTCTTTAAAATGCTTTAAATATAATATAAATGTGATATGATAAAGATAATTAAATAAGGAAAAAAATAAAAAWATATAAATATAGCTATTCTTTTCAATTAATTTAACGGAAAGTTCCATAATGTAAAGTCACATATTATTATAAATAAATAAAAATATTGCGACCATAAAATAACGCATATTCATATGTTTATTATTAGAATAAGGATAAGCATTTCATTTTTTTAATAACAAAAATCGCCATTMAAATTTAAAATTAATTGAAAAATGAATACTTGAATGACAATATGGTTTTCGATGTATTTGAAGAACGTATGTAATTAAAAATAGTGTTACTTATACAACAATACATTATTTTGGTAGGTAATGTTGTAACAATACTATACAATAATTAACATTATCACAGATAAAAATATCGATAAATCAAAATAATACAAACGAAATTAATAATTCAATATTCTATTACAATATTATTGTATCTATTACATAATAAAACTTACAARCTACATCTAGTACGTCGAATTGTAAACTGGTATAGTGAATTTAGAACTATAAATAGTGTTAATAATTATCATGGATACTAAAAAAAATAACACGGAAGAAAATAATATTTATAAAAAGACTATTATAAATTGTATGCAAAATTCAAGTTCAAAACACTATGTTCTATGACTAAAATATAATAATAATATATTGCTAAGAATTTGTAACAAGTATTGAAATTGCCTACACAATGCGCCGTCTCATCACAACTAAAGTGTAACGTAATATCTAAAATCGAATTAGAACAAAACATTATTGTAAAAGCGACATCGTTTACCCTGATTCGAGCTTATTTCATTAATAAAATATTATTATCACTAGTAATTGTTTGTTGGATCGAATAAGAATGTATGATTAATTGAATTACATAATATAATATACACTCCAAATATTTATGCACCTAGTCTGCAGTTAACAAATTACAATTTAATTGGATTTATTAAAAAATATATTTTGGAGGGGAACTAACAAATAAATAATATTCTCCAGTACTTTGTGTATTGTGAATATTATTAAAATAATCTTTAAGCATTTTACATAATAATATCAACATTTATTGTACTTTAGGTACTAAAAACATTTGATAACAATGTTATAGATTGGTATGGATTTTTATCATTTATCCTACGTGGTTGGCCCTTWTAATTATTCAACTGTCAAAAGATGGATTATATGAGTTTATGAATTTCAAAGATATTAACATAATGATACGCCTGTAAGGGACTATGTCTTCGAACCCTCTCGAACAGAATAAATTCTGTGTAACATTACGGATAAAATTTTATCAAAATTCTTAACTTTAAATGAATCTTATACTATAATATGTACGTATAATACTTGTGAAATTMAATTTTCTTTCTGTATTTTCCAGTAGACTTATAATTCTGCTATATGTATACAATTAATGTATTAACGCACTGGAAAATCTTTTATTTTGCTCATAAAATGCATAACATAAACTTTAAAACAACTTTTGACACTTAATGGAAACTACGTAAACGTGTGTAGTGTTATGCAATCTGTAATTAATATACAGTATATACGTATCTCAACGTATACACTATTGACCTTTAAATTTTCGACACATAACTACAGCAAGTTTCAACAATAAATTGAGTTCTAACAATATATATAGTACAAAGAAGTACCCAGAAGAAAAGGAATCTTAAATAATTTCCAAATTTTTTTCACTAAGTTATTAATGCAATTAGTTTTAACCTAAACAACAGTTGGTATGTTATTAAATGAATATGAATTATTAGAGCAATATAATTCATAAGATGGTTATTAAAAAACATGAACATATTCACAAACTTATTAAAACATTTTTTCATCATACGAGTAATGTATTTAAATTGTATCATTCTTTAAAGTAAAATCTACATTATATTCACTCAAAATTATTCATTTAATATATAATATATTTTGAATTGAAGACCCTATTTTGTTTRATTTATGTTCAATATTGTTAAAAATCGAATCCCCGTCAAAACTGTAGTCTTGGTATGTTCAAATGCATTTGTTCAGTAGTAAATTTTACTCAAAAAAATAAATTAAAAAAAATAATATTATGTAGTTATATCCTTAAAAATAGAATTATTGTGCATAACATAGATTAAATAGTATGTATGCTAATAATTAAATTTTTGTTCAATAATGGTGTGTTACGTCCGAAAATCTTATTTCTATTTTGAATTCAGTGCATTTTGATTTCATTTATTTARCGAACTAATCTAGCTTAACTAAATCTAAATAGACATATTTTTAAAAAAAGGGTGTTCTGTTATTCAGAATTGTTTTATTTACATAACCCAAGATAAAAATTTTAGAGTTAAATTGAGCCATATAGTATATTTTATTTTACATTAAATCACTTTTTGTCAACATCGTTTGATGAATATATATACCAATAAATATACCAACGGTACCTGTACCTACTATGTTTAACGAGGAAAAATATTCTCTAAAATTAAAACTGGA